CAGGAACTCATGGAGCTCCTGGATTGTCTGATCATATGGTGGACGGTGTTTTGCTGCTCTCCTTAGCGGCTTATTTTGCACCGCTTGCAAAATCTGCATGTTAGTTTTCTTTATGGTATGTAGTGGTACTGGGGGATATTCTAGATGCAGCCGAACTAGAGCCTTATATAAGTGGATCCCATTGTGCTACTTATCTGCCCACCCACTCTCTCCTGACTGCCCTGCCACCCACTTCCTTAGTCTACCATCAGCCAGTCACCTCCTTAGTCTACCATCTGCCATGCATGCACATGTTTCTGTTCTGGCCCACCCTGCTACTCATCCATCCACTGCCCACCCACTCATCCTCCACGTGTTCTTCCCTTACATTATTCTAGGGCTGGTGTTTCTAAAAAATTTCTTTCCTGTTCCTCCCCCCCCCCCTCCCCCACCAGCCTCCCTGTCCACACTCACCTGCCATCCATCTGGGCCCCCCACCATCCATCCACCATCCAGTCCCTCACCATCCACCCATCCAGTCCCCTCACCATCTATCCATCCAGTCCCCTCACCATCCATCCATCCAGTCCCCTCACCATCCATCCATCCAGTCCCCTCACCATCCATCCATCCAGTCCCCTCACCATCCATCCATCCAGTCCCCTCACCATCCATCCATCCAGTCCCCTCACCATCCATCCAATCCCCCCTCACCATCCATCCATCCAGTCCCCTCACCATCCATCCATCCAGTCCCCTCACCATCCATCCATCCAGTCCCCTCACCATCCATCCATCCAGTCCCCTCACCATCCATTCATCCAGTCCCCTCACCATCCATCCATCCAGTCCCCTCAACCATCCATCCATCCAGTCCCCTCACCATCCATCCATCCAGTCCCCTCACCATCCATCCATCCAGTCCCCTCATCATCCATCCATCCAGTCCCCTCATCATCCATCCATCCAGTCCCCTCACCATCCATCCATCCAGTCCCCTCACCATCCATCCATCAAGTCCCTTCACCATCCATCCATCCAGTCCCTCACCATCCATCCATCCATCCAGTCCCTCACCATTCATCCATCCAGTCTCCTCACCATCCATCCATCCAGTCCCCTCACCATCCATCCATCCAGTCCCCTCACATCCATCCATCCATCAAGTTCCCCCATCATCCAGTCCCCCTCACCATCCATCCATCCAGTCCCCTCAACATCCATCTATCCAGTCCCTCACCATCCATCTATCCAGTCCACTCATCATCCATCCATGCTGTTCCCTCACCATCCATCCATCCATCCATCCAGTCTCCCTCACCAACCATCCATCCAGTTGTCCTACCAAATACAATATTCAAGTGCCATCGTCACTAAGTGGATGACACTGATAAACTGAAGCACAGTTGCCCATGTCACCAGGAACCACAACGCTCGGTTGACCCATGCTTGTACCAACAAAGTCGCAAGTCGAGGCAAAGGTTATAAGTTGAATCAAATTTTCTGACGAAAGAAAAAATCGTAAGTAGTGCCATTCATAAGTTGAGGTTCCACTGTACTGTTAAAATGCATTCCCTTATCACAGGAAAAATAATAAGCAAAATTGTATGTGAAATTTATATAATAAAATGGGTGGAACATCAGAATGCCCAAAATATATTCGTGTTACCAAGACGCTCGGTACATTATTTGCCTTGAACAATAAAACATTCTGTTTTTGCTGTTATTACACTATATACTGTACACACTTTATATATAACTATACACATTTTCATGTACAATTGCAAGCCACTAAGCAGGTCTGGTGGGAATAGAGAAACACAGCACACCACACATAATACAGTCAGACCATCCCAGCAGATGACGTAATTTGATGAAGCAGAATGCGTCAAAATATACTACGCACATCACTATTCTAGGCACAATGTTGCTATTATTATCAGCATCCTGATAAAAATAGGTGTTATTTGATACATTTATAAATTATAATAGGTGGAACTTCACTATACTCAAAATATAGTGTGCATATTAGTAACAAGATTATTATATTTTTAGAACAAGAAAACAGTGCTTTTGCTGTTAATACACTGCATATACACTACTTATATACAGTATATATAACTATCTACATTCTTGTACATTGGAATGAACCACCAAGATGGTCTGATGGATCCCCCCACACACACACACACAATTATAGACCTGTATCATTGACAAGTGTAATAGTGAAAGTATTGGAAAAGCTAATCAAAACTAAATGGGTAGAACACCTGGAGAGAAATGATATAATATCAGACAGACAGTATGGTTTTCGATCAGGAAGATCCTGTGTATCGAATTTACTCAGTTTCTATAATCGGGCCACAGAGATATTACAGGAAAGAGATGGCTGGGTTGACTGCATCTATCTGGACCTAAAAAAGGCTTTCGACAGAGTTCCACATAAGAGGTTGTTCTGGAAACTGGAAAATATTGGAGGGGTGACAGGTAAGCTTCTATCATGGATGAAAAATTTTCTGACTGATAGAAAAATGAGGGCAGTAATCAGAGGCAATGTATCGGAATGGAGAAATGTCACAAGTGGAGTACCACAGGGTTCAGTTCTTGCACCAGTGATGTTTATTGTGTATATAAATGATCTACCAGTTGGTATACAGAATTATATGAACATGTTTGCTGATGATGCTAAGATAATAGGAAGGATAAGAAATTTAGATGATTGTCATGCCCTTCAAGAAGACCTGGACAAAATAAGTATATGGAGCACCACTTGGCAAATGGAATTTAATGTTAATAAATGTCATGTTATGGAATGTGGAATAGGAGAACATAGACCCCACACAACCTATATATTATGTGAGAAATCTTTAAAGAATTCTGATAAAGAAAGAGATCTAGGAGTGGTTCTAGATAGAAAACTATCACCTGAGGACCACATTAAGAATATTGTGCAAGGAGCCTATGCAATGCTTTCTAACTTCAGAATTGCATTTAAATACATGGATGGCGATATACTAAAGAAATTGTTCATGACTTTTGTTAGGCCAAAGCTAGAATATGCAGCTGTTGTGTGGTGCCCATATCTTAAGAAGCACATCAACAAACTGGAAAAGGTGCAAAGACATGCTACTAAGTGGCTCCCAGAACTGAAGGGCAAGAGCTACGAGGAGAGGTTAGAAGCATTAAATATGCCAAAACTAGAAGACAGAAGAAAAAGAGGTGATATGATCACTACGTACAAAATAGTAACAGGAATTGTTGTAGGAAATTTTATTGTGAACAATTTGATACCAAAATGAAAGACATACAAAGAAAATTGATGTGAGAAAACTGAAAAGAGTACTGTATACACATTTGTGTGCTGGTGTTGCGGCTCACGTGAAATGCTCGGCCCACCTTGGAGTAAGCTGGGGCATGCACGCCGGGAACGCACAAGTGTTAAACAAAATGTAATGAGATGTAACGCTAACAAGGAGCAATGGTTTCAAGCTCAACAAGCCACAATGCAGTACTGAGAACAGGAGATTTTTTTAACACACAGGGTTATAAACCCATGGACCCATTAACCTGCTGAATCTGTGACTGCCAGTACTGTGTTGAGTTTTAAAATATACCTGAAAAAGATCAAGGCAAATGGGGGGAACCTTCGACAAGCCGCCGGCTTCTTGTCCTTGCCGAGGCCACTAGGGTTAGTGACCCAGGTAAATCAGGTAAAAATCAGGTAAAATATGAAGTGAAATCAATTCACTTATTACTCCCATACACCCTGGCTGTGGTCCAGGAGTTCAACACTTCTCTTCAAGTGATACATTACAATGTGATTTCATTGTACATTTGAAGAGAAGTGATGAAACTCATGGAAATAGAACTCCTGGACCACCACCAGAGTGCACCGGGGCAATGCATGAAACCCTGATTGGGCATCAATAGAAGCCTTAGGACGAATCCTAATGGATTCGGTTGAATCTCAGGTTGCAATGCTATTGACCATGTCGTGGAATAGTGGTCAAGGGCATGTACTTGAGAGTACCAAGTGTGCAGGTTCGAATCCTCGTTGCTTTTACTAATTTTCTCATTAATAGCAGTTACTTATATATTTTGTCATAATTATTTTCATGCGATGCTGTAGACACAAGCTGAACAGTAGTACTGTTAGCTTATGCTGCGGGTATCAACCTTGGTTGCTCAGTCAGTATTGATGCCCTCACACCCAGAAACAATGTCCGTGATTTTTTATAAAAATGGTGACTGTTTACTGGAGGCCAGAAAAATCTGATATGTGTTTTAAAATCCTATAAAATACTTCCTAACCCCTAATACTTGCACCCTAATACTTCCCTTGGTGGCATGTAAACTCAGTATAATTAGCCATCCCATCACCTGATGGGATGTGCAGCTGAAGGGTTAATGAATATCAACTCCCTAGGAATCAGTTTTGTGTACACTAAATTAATGCATCTGTATCTGTTAGCGTAGTAAGTGTTGAGACCTCCAGCTAAATACACGTGGAGATTACAGGTGGGTCGATAGACAACTTAAAATCAGGAATCCCTTACATATTACAAGGTCATATTAATGGTTAGTATCTAAGCTTGTCAATAATGTTGCACCTTTCCACTACACAGTTCAGTACTACAAATGATGTTAACTTATCTGCATAGAATTATGACAATATTATAATTCTGATGCTAATCAAACTATTACATGGCAAAGGCAAATGCTCGAGCGAGTGTGAAACGAAAATAGTATGCAGAAGCGTCAAATGAATTTGAACTTGGTGGCACCGTACACAAGGGATATACAGAATATGTATTTACATTTTTAAATAATACAATGTCAATGCTTTAATCATTAAATTTTGAATTATATACTGTATTATTTGTACTAGTATAATCTGTGAATTTCGAGAATATATACTAAGAGCATAATGATATGCTAAATGAGATGCAGACACTGTATATTTATCAATGTAGATAATGTTAGTGGAGAAGCAGCAACAACAGCAAGAGCGCAGTGGTTACCTGGAGCCAGCATACCTCCGCACACTCTGGTGTGGAGCAAGTTTCTCTGGGGCTGAGATCTCCAGAGGAAACTTGCAGCCAAGAGGGCCACGGGAAGCCTTAGCTCTGTGGTCTAGCGGCAATGGGTCAGCCAGAGAACGCTTGGCCGGCTGAGATTTGGCTGGTAGGTGTGGTTGTATTTCCCCATCTACAGAAGCAGAGGTGAGCTGTAGCACAGTCTGATTAACACATGGGTCAAAATGGAGGCCAAGCATTACTGGGTCAAGGGTCACTGGCTCAGATTTGAGAGGGTTGAGAGCTTGTGGTTCAATAGACAGTGGCTCCAATCTGAAATGATCATGGGAGGCTAACATATTATTCAGCTCATCCTCCTGTAGTCGAGCTGCCTTATGAAGAGCAGAGTAACCTTCTAGCGTGTTACCTGTATAATTCTCCATAATGTTGTCATTTGAATTGTTATTGCTGATGTCAGAGCTAAGATGTAGCTGTGTCCCCCCTACCCTTTCATTATCTCTACCTTGATCACTACTACCATACCTTCCTCCTTCATTGTTAGGTTGTGCAGACTTTGGATCCTCTGGTATGCCCTCAAATGTTGCTGATTTTTCTAATTTCCTCTCAGTCTTGCTCTTGTCTCCAGTCTTATTTCCTCCACTATTCTTATGATGGTGGCTTCTAGGGTCTGTTTGGCATTCTCCATCTCTTTTCTGACGCTCAGAACTCCGTTTCCGAGACAAATCTTGCTCTATTGCCACATGGGTACTCATTTTCAATCCTTCTTCTCTTGAAAGAGACCGCTTTTTAGTTATCAATAAAACACTGTCTGGAGTCAAAGCTGTACTTTCTCTAGGACTTTTCTCTAAACTACGCATGCGACTTGTGCTACCAGAGGCACTAGTTCTTGAGGGAGAATTTAATTCACAATCAACATAGCTTAATCTGCACCCTGGTCTTACCTTCTCACTAGATGGAGAAGTGCTGTGGCTCACACAATTATCAACATGGGAGGGTACTTCCACGTCCACTTTATCACTGTGCTTACGTTTCATCTTATCACTCGAAAATTCAGCAGTTAACTTTGGTATTACTAAATCATCCCTTCGCATTCTTTCATCTTGAGTAGGACTAGCTATATCAGTTTCCCTCCATAGCCCAGGTACATTGGGGTAGGAATATGTTGTAGAATCTCGTGAAAGACTGTTTAATCTAAGAGAGCTCTCATCACTTGAAGCTTTTACGCTTGATAAATAATCTGAGTATATTTGTGGAGACAGCTCCCTAAAGCCTGGTGCTATTGCTCCTTCAAGATTCATACCACTAAACATATACTTGAAACGTTCATCACTTAGAGAGGGAGCATGTTGAGGTGAAGGCGAATCAGCATCTGTACGAGAAAAATCTGTACGCGAGAAACTTTCATCAGAAGAGCTCAGGCTTGGAGATCGATTTAGTGAACTAATTTCATCAGCTGAGGAATGGATGCGAGTAGAATGAAGGTCTCTATGAGACGATCCATGTAAACTGTCATCACTATAGTGCCTAGCAAAGGAGCGTAACTTGTGACGAACTCCAGCTTCCTCAACATGGTGATGGCGGGGCATTGGTGGTAGAATAAGTCCACCACTAAGAGCACTTCTACTAGAATCAATGAGTCGCAAATGACCATCGTCATTTTCTTTTCTTGGAGAGGTACGACTACGCCCAGATGATTTTTTCCCATCACTTCCCTGTTGCCCTCCTTGACCACCACTCTGTGAGCGGCCCCAAGTTGGAACATAAGAATTTTGTGGAAGATTGTATTCATCTGGGCGGTATGTACGAGGACGGGACTGTGAATATGTCTTGGGTGCTGTAACAGAACTTTGAGGCTTCATCTGTTGCATAGCTGCACGGGTGGGTGTTTGGGATTTATTACTAGTACGCATTTGCGCTACTGAGAATCTAGGTGGCAAAACATGTGCATTTAGCGGTGCTGGAGGAGCTCTGGTGAGCAAGGGTTCCTCTTCACACCTCTGACAATCCGCGCCTGACTGTCGTCCTCCCATCTTAGGTCCACACTGGTTGAGATTCGTGTTCATCGCCTGGACATCATCACAGAAAGAGTCACGGTTGCGACGCAAACGTGGAGTTCCTGCAGACTGTCCATGTCCGCCATGTCCCATGAGGCCTTGAGAGAGACTACGACCATGAGGTGGTACTTTGGGGGGCACCATTGCCAGCGGTGTAGCTACTCCTCCGAACAGCCCTCCTGTTAATATGGCAGTGGATTAGCATTCTACATTTGAAGCATAACTTTAGAATATTGATCTATATATTTTACAATAATTTAAGTCCAGACAATTTATTTCACAAAAAAAACAGCGTTAAATGTAACGAAATGCCATTTTTCTGGGCAAGACCTGGAGGCTCCCCGGAGCTATCCGGGCTGATATGAATGTATTAGACCCTGGCATCAGCCAAGTGCATGGAGTTCTAGGCCAACCAGGGGCCACGAGCCAGAACCTGTCACCCTCAGAGATGCACGAGGAGCAATGGTCAATAGAAATCCCCCGTGTGTTTGGGAGCATTCTAGGTCTGCCATTGACCGGGTCACTAACCCAGAAAGGTAGGCTCTGCAAAACAAACACCTATTCTGGTAAAATATTGCTATTGAAAGCCGAACTAATGGACAGAACTCCCCAAATGAAAATGAGCAAACGAGCATGACATCACTACGTTACCACGCCGTCATCTGCGCAACCCCCCCCCCCCTTCCCTCCCTTCCCAGGAGGGAAAAGGGGGAGCCCAAGATCCTCACACTGGCAATCCAACCTGCAGTTGTGAGGCTGGACGTCAAAAATCGTGAAAAGAAAACTGCCGACCAGAGAGAGGAAGGGTTGCCGGGGAGCCTCCGGGTCTCACCCAGAAAATGGTGTTTGATTACATTCAACGCTGATTTTTTGGGGGGAGCCCCAACGGCTCGCCGGAGCTACCTACCCAAAGACAAAAACAAGAGGGACTTACCCGGTAGGCGGTCGGCCCTCGCTCCTCAACGCGTAGTCGAGACAACTGGCTGCAACCGCCGACCCAATGCAACACAGGTCCAACTAAGCCCAGGAACGTTAACAAGGTAGCGAGCGGCCAGGACCTGTTCCACCTAAAAAAACTCGTGCTCGAATGTCAGCCCAAGACATATTACTGAAGACAGCAGCCAGAGCAGCAAACTTACGAATGTCAGCCCAAGACATGTTACTGAAGACAGCAGCCAGAGCAGCAAACTTACGAATGTCGTAAGAACGAGGATAGACCACAGGTTGGCTACACTGAATAACTGCGGATGACTCAGGAGACCTGAACCCTGGAAGAGTGAAGAAGGGAAACTGAGTCAACCCAAAGCGCATCCCTGGCCACCGAAGCCATGGAGCGCAGATAACGGAGGAGAGCCCCAAACAGACAACACATGATGCACCCTCGGCCTGACCAACCAAGCATCAACAACCCAAAGACCCCTCCGGAAAGCAGCAGTCTCATTCTTTACCAGAAAAGATAGAGATGGCTGCAACTGAACAAACCTACCACCAGGACCAAAAGAGCAGAAACCCCTGTGCCGGAGGAGAGCATGAAGCTCCCCAATATGACCCCAAGAGAGCCCAGGCCAGCCTGGTGAGCACTGGTCACAAAGCCCCAGCCAAGGGACAACGCGTCCGTGAACACAGTGAGCGAGGGCTCGGGTAGGTGCCAAGGCACTGAACCCCGAAAAACCACTAAGAGGAAGCCGGCGATGCAGCAGCCGACGTAAAGCACCAGGAGACCAAACACAGCAATCGCGAAAGAGGCAGAAGGAACCAGAACAGTCTGCTACTTGATACCTTTTTGATGGGGTTCTGGAAGTTCTTCTACACCTCAAGCCTGGCCCGAGGCCAGGTTTGACTTGTGAGAGCTTCGTACACCAGGCTGTTGCTTGGAGTGGCCTGCAGGCCCACATACCCACCACAGCCCGGTTGGTCTGGCACTTCTTTTAGAAAACAATCTAGTTTTCTCTTGAAGATGTCCACGGTTGTCGCAACTGACAAAGCTAAACCCAGCTCGGTGGGTCGACCAATGTCGCAAAGTTCAGACTCCCGCACAATCCTTCGAGCAACCACCTCATGACATGGGAACCCTCCAGAAACAGCTGAAGGCAGGACTATAGCTGCAGCAAAGCCTCTGGAGGTAGAGGCAAGGAAGAGGTCTGAGAGTCCCAAACAAGACCCAACCAGGTCTGAACCTGAGTGGGAACCAGATGGGACTTCCTTCAGCTCACCAGGAACCCTGAACTCGGCAGGCTGGGAAAGAACCAAATCCCTGGTGAGCAGACACACGGGCTAGCTGGGAGCCCACACCAGCCAGCGTCGAGGTAGGCCAGAACTCAAACCCCTAAGAGAAGCAAACAGGCCACGATGACCCGGGTAAGGCATGTGAAAAATGCAAGGTGCCAGATTCAAGCCGAATGGAAGGCAACGAAAGCAGTAAGTTTGATACCCCACAACAAAACTGAGCCAGTCCCTGAACCCTGGATGAATTGGGATGTGCCAATATGCACCCCAGAGGTCTAGGGACACCATCCAAGAGCCTAACTCCAACAGGAAATGGACCTGGGACAGTAGTCAACCAAAAGGAGGGGCAAGAGACCAAGGGGTTCAGACAGGACAAGTCCAGAAGGAACCGCAGGTCTGTGCAGTCCCGTTTTGGAACTAGGAACAGGCGGGATACCCACCTGAGGGACAAGGACATTTTGACCGCACCCAGGTGAACCCAACCCAAGATGACCCAACAGAGCACAGGAGAAGAGGCCTTGGGAGGAGGGGCCACTGAATGCCACCGCAGGCTGCAAGAAACGACCTATAACACCCACGAATCGTGGGAGCAGATGTTAACAAGGTGAGCCCCCCCCACCCCATCACTGGGACGAACTTCGAAAGGGCCAACGCCCCTTACGAGAATCCAACTGACAAGCAGAGCAATCACCACGCCGACCAGACATTGGATGGCACAGCTCTGAAGGCTATGCCAGCTCCGAAACTGGCACCACTGTTGAATGTGGTAGTGCGCCCGTAGCCAAATGGCCACGGGCGCGCAAATCCTCGGCTACCAAGGACACCGAAAGGGAGGGAACCTGCACGTTAAGCTGTATCAGGCCGACGTTTGGAGGAAGGGCAGGGGTGAACAAACACGCATTGAAGCATTCAAATTTGCCCCCCAGGTAAACGTGGGAGGCAAATTTGGCTCTTACAGAGTGAGAGGCTCTTACAGTCGTAAGAGCCTTTCTCCACTGAAGTGTGCAGGACTGGCAGAACATATGCTATGCCCCTAACGAAAAGAGAGGACAGTCTGCCAACCAGAACGACTCCGGAATCTCGTAACGAACCTAGTAAGGAAAGGAAGAACTGAACTCGAAAGGGCCTCCCGCACCTCATGAAGCGAGATGCGGGAGGCCGAAAACCTCCGGAAGGAAGGGACCGAAGAAAGCAAGGGAACCCAGAACCAAACCTGGGGAGGAGCTGACCCCATATCAAACCCATACAGGGAGGGAGGGAGGATAAGAAAATGCCACCCCCTGTAACAACAAGCCCTGCTCAGAGGGTACCAATACCCAAGCGAGGTCAAACGGGGATCAACCCCCAAGGCAGCCCCTCCCACACCCCGGAAACCTCCACACCAGGACCCAGGGCTGAGCTGACTTCCAAACTCTCTGCCTCAAAAGAAAAGCCAGAGTCCACTGGAAAAGCAGGAAAGAAGGGAGCCCACTGGTCAGACCCAAAAGCACCGGCAGGAGGAACAGGCTTGAATGCCTCTGCCGTCACATCGGATGAGGCATCCCCCGAAGCTGCTCGAGTCTCACCACCAACTAAACCCTGCCCTGATTCCGAAACCCTCAGACGCTTCGGAGCCAGGTACAAGGGGGGAAGGAATAGGATAAACAACAGCAGGGAAAGGACAAGGGAGGCACAGACAAAACTAAAGTTGAAGCGACTAATGCCTCTGAGTCCGGGTCCCCATAACCAAAACAGGGCAGTCTCAGGACATCCAGGTGAGCAACCAACCTAACGCATTGCAGTAACCTATAATGCACATGCAACACCGGAGCCACCTGCACCCGAATATCAAGATCAGTGGATTGAGTGAATTGCAGTACAAGCAAGTAAGACCACTCGCATGACTCCAGGTCGAAGGTGTCACCAACCCAACAGGCATCATGACAGAGGCAGAAATGGTGATTGTTATCCTGAGACAAGGGGACAAAGCAATTTTCAAACACGCACAAAGCGAGATGGGACCCAGGGGGATGCATCTATTGAACCACTGAGCCCCAGCAGGGGTTTCCAGGGCCCTTGGACACACTGCTAAGGGAAGCCCAGGCAAGGTACTGCTAACCGGCTCCCCCAAACTATCAAATGAACTACTATGTCCTGAACCCCCGTGACGAGTACACTCACAGGGACCTAATGGAGGACCACCAAGAACATGTATAAGGGTCAACACCACCAAGTGCAGTCACCCCCATCAGGCACCAACAAAGTGGTGCATGAAACACCCCCAGCTGACTCCAAGGGCGGGCAATCACCAAAAGACCACAGCGGAGGTAGACCCCAAGCGACTTGTGGAAGTTAACCCTCAAACCACAAGAGCAGTACTTACAGGGCACCTAAGGAAGGTAACCCTAGGGGCATGTAGCTTGAGTACTGGTGAAATTACTCCTGGCTCAAACACCACCACAGAACAGGACCACACCACAAGGCACAGCACTGGAATGTCAGGAGCCCGAGTCGCACGACTGCCAGGTCTCACATCAACCTCTGAAATGGGAATTGGATAGCTGGCGCGGAGGATCTGGAACTCCCGCTTCCCCCTCCCAGGAAGGGGGAAGCTGCGCAGACAGCAGTGCAGTGATGGTTGTGACGTCATGCTCGTTTGCTCTTTTAAGTTTTGAAAGTTCTGCTTAACAGTTCAGCTTTCAGTAGCAATTTTTTAATCAAATAAGGTTTGTTTTTGGAGTGCCTAGCTTTCTGGGTGCGCCTGACCTGGTCAATGGCAGACAGACTGCTTCCAACCACATGGAGGTTTCTATAGGCCATTGCTCCTCGTTCCTCTGAGGGGGGGGGGCACAAGGAGCAATGGCCATCCCTGGTAGGCAGAACTCCATTCACTTTGACTGATGCCACAGTCTAATACATTCATATCAGCCCTGATAGCTCCAGGGAGCCGAAGGGGCTACCCCAGAAAACACCA